AGATCGAACAATACGCTCGCTTCGGGGCTAGATTGCTCTGCCTATGCCCCGAGAGTAGACAGTTTCTTCTTTTTTTTCTCACCAAGGATACTACGTATATGCATACAGGGTGAATAGAAGAAAGGGTTCATAACTTTTAGGATAGATGGTACCACTACGCCGAAACGTGGAAAAAAATAGTTCTAATAAACACGTACTCTTTCTCAAAGATTCCCGAATGTGTGTTCCAACTTTTTCAAAAACAAGCAAAACTTTTTCAAAAACTCTAAAAGTTAGCAATCTTTTTTTCTATTCACCCTGCGTACAATAGGATCCGTAGAGAGCGAAGGCCGACCGTGTTATTCGCTCGAATTGGGAGATCGAGGATCGCGACGAGGCGATCAACGTTACGATCTCTCGGAGCATGCGATAACGCGTACAGAGGTGCATCTCGCGCGTTGGTCCATTTGCTCGTCCATCTGCGAGTCTGCGAGTCTTCTCTATCCATCTCTTTTCCTTTGTCTGTCCGTCGACGAAAGATCCTCTTTGTCGTGCGCCTCAACACCGGTTACCCGTACACGGAACATTGTTCCTCATTTTGCCAACGACGTACCTATACGCATCCTTTCGCCTTCTGCTACCTCCGCGAAGTAGATTCCATCTACTCGCAGCCAGACCGATTCGTCTTGTCGACGATTTTCCGAACGAACGTCGCCGTTGGTTCGCTGCGACTGGATGGCGACGACGACGAGCTTAGTTCGCTCAGTTTATTAGCGACGATTTCAATCTCGACGAAGAAGAAGAGGATAACGAGGAGGGAATGGAGCAGAAAGTAAAGGAAGAGACCGAGTTGGAGAGAGAGAGAGAGAGAGAGAGAGAGAGCAGAAAGAACCGAAAGGCAGAAAGGCGAAAGAGGCTTTTCTTCTTTTGATGCGCCTACTTAGCGTGCAAGCCCGGGTCCGTGTTTCGCGTCGCACGCGTGGAAAGAGTACCCTCGAAACTGGCCGTAACGACCGGTAACCCCATCCTAAACGAAGCCTTAAAGAGGGAAGGGCAGGGTAACCGTGTAACAAGAGGCTGCTGTGCAAAGGGGTTGAAGAGTCGCGAAACCATGGAGGGGAAACACGAGCGACGAGCGACGAACGACGTCTACGGGTTCTACCTGCTACGTACGACGTGGCGTGACGTGGTTCTATTGTAACTCGAGAGTTTTCTTGCACTCTTGCACTCCCTAACCCCTCTCCCTCCCCCTTCACCACACACACCCGGCCCCTCTCAAACGTTTGCGCGTAAAACTGTTTTCTACTACGTCTCGTTTTGCCTTCTCAAACCCTTCTCTCTCCTCCCTTTCCTTCCACCTTTTTCTGCTTCTTCCTCCCCCTTTCGCTTCATCGCACGCAAATCGCAACGCGACATTCTCATTCCTTTCGAAGCGTTTCGCGCGCGCCCTTCTTCTTCTTCTTCTTCTTCTTCTTCTTCTTCTTCTTCTTCTTCTTCTTCTTTTCACTCTCTCCATCCGGCGTTGCTCTCTTCCGTTTGCAAGTTAAACGCACACCGCGACGACGAATTAGCATGGCGAATAAGCAACGTGATTCCCTCTCTTTCGTCTTCCGGGGAAATCTGCTTTTCAATGCCAATGCCTTTTGCATTGGCACGATTCGAGTATCGAGGCTTTGAATCTTAAACTGAGCACACCCCTAGCTAGTAGCACCCCGTGTCCACGCAACTCCACCGTACAGTCTACAGTCTACGGTGTGTCTATCGTACGTTTACAAGGACGCGGGGGCAAATTTTTGTCGACGTATCAAAATTATTACAGTCACGTATGAGTCCTCGAGGAGGAGGAGGAGGAGGAGGAG